AAGACACGAAAAGATTAGCTGTCTTTGATCATAGGTGCCTGCGCTGTGTCTCCCATGTGAAGTGGTATAATAAGGTGAGCAATATTGAGGTTAGGCGTCGAGTGTTAGGTAAGTATTGAGGGGAAATCAATCGACGAGGCCGTAAAATTACATCGACTGAGATGGTTAAGACATGTGTTCCGCATGAATGCCTAGTTATCACCTTCCTCGACGGGAAATGTTAACTGACATAGGGGTCAGGCTGGAAAAGAGCCAGCTAGCGACGGTCAAACCAAAATATAGCTTCACCAGTCATTGAAATCCACAACAGTTAGTTTAAGCCAGCCAGTCACGTAGGAAGGTGTAGACTTCCTGGCTGGTTAGGGTCCTCGGGACGGTAAAAACCACTGGTTGGAAACAATTGGTGATATGGCTCAAAATCGTTCTCAATGCATAGCACAGATGCATCCACTCCTTGTGACTTATGATTTCCAATGAAACTCTATTGTTCTACGTTACTCCTATTTCTTTGTCTCACACCTCTGCTTACTGTCTCTATTATGCTTTTCTTGTACTTTCTTCTCTTGCTTCGTGTGCTACATGGAGTGTGGCGGGTGTACTGCTCATCAGTCCGCTCCGTCCTCCTTTATAGCCGTCATTGAGAGTGGAAGACACGAAAAGATTAGCTGTCTTTGATCATAGGTGCCTGCGCTGTGTCTCCCATGTGAAGTGGTATAATAAGGTGAGCAATATTGAGGTTAGGCGTCGAGTGTTAGGTAAGTATTGAGGGGAAATCAATCGACGAGGCCGTAAAATTACATCGACTGAGATGGTTAAGTCATGTGTTCCGCATGAATGCCTAGTTATCACCTTCCTCGACGGGAAATGTTAACTGACATAGGGGTCAGGCTGGAAAAGAGCCAGCTAGCGACGGTCAAACCAAAATATAGCTTCACCAGTCATTGAAATCCACAACAGTTAGTTTAAGCCAGCCAGTCACGTAGGAAGGTGTAGACTTCCTGGCTGGTTAGGGTCCTCGGGACGGTAAAAACCACTGGTTGGAAACAATTGGTGATATGGCTCAAAATCGTTCTCAATGCATAGCACAGATACATCCACTCCTTGTGACTTATGATTTCCAATGAAACTCTATTGTTCTACGTTACTCCTATTTCTTTGTCTCACACCTCTGCTTACTGTCTCTATTATGCTTTTCTTGTACTTTCTTCTCTTGCTTTGTGTGCTACATGGAGTGTGGCGGGTGTACTGCTCATCAGTCCGCTCCGTCCTCCTTTATAGCCGTCATTGAGAGTGGAAGACACGAAAAGATTAGCTGTCTTTGATCATAGGTGCCTGCGCTGTGTCTCCCATGTGAAGTGGTATAATAAGGTGAGCAATATTGAGGTTAGGCGTCGAGTGTTAGGTAAGTATTGAGGGGAAATCAATCGACGAGGCCGTAAAATTACATCGACTGAGATGGTTAAGACATGTGTTCCGCATGAATGCCTAGTTATCACCTTCCTCGACGGGAAATGTTAACTGACATAGGGGTCAGGCTGGAAAAGAGCCAGCTAGCGACGGTCAAACCAAAATATAGCTTCACCAGTCATTGAAATCCACAACAGTTAGTTTAAGCCAGCCAGTCACGTAGGAAGGTGTAGACTTCCTGGCTGGTTAGGGTCCTCGGGACGGTAAAAACCACTGGTTGGAAACAATTGGTGATATGGCTCAAAATCGTTCTCAATGCATAGCACAGATACATCCACTCCTTGTGACTTATGATTTCCAATGAAACTCTATTGTTCTACGTTACTCCTATTTCTTTGTCTCACACCTCTGCTTACTGTCTCTATTATGCTTTTCTTGTACTTTCTTCTCTTGCTTTGTGTGCTACATGGAGTGTGGCGGGTGTACTGCTCATCAGTCCGCTCCGTCCTCCTTTATAGCCGTCATTGAGAGTGGAAGACACGAAAAGATTAGCTGTCTTTGATCATAGGTGCCTGCGCTGTGTCTCCCATGTGAAGTGGTATAATAAGGTGAGCAATATTGAGGTTAGGCGTCGAGTGTTAGGTAAGTATTGAGGGGAAATCAATCGACGAGGCCGTAAAATTACATCGACTGAGATGGTTAAGTCATGTGTTCCGCATGAATGCCTAGTTATCACCTTCCTCGACGGGAAATGTTAACTGACATAGGGGTCAGGCTGGAAAAGAGCCAGCTAGCGACGGTCAAACCAAAATATAGCTTCACCAGTCATTGAAATCCACAACAGTTAGTTTAAGCCAGCCAGTCACGTAGGAAGGTGTAGACTTCCTGGCTGGTTAGGGTCCTCGGGACGGTAAAAACCACTGGTTGGAAACAATTGGTGATATGGCTCAAAATCGTTCTCAATGCATAGCACAGATACATCCACTCCTTGTGACTTATGATTTCCAATGAAACTCTATTGTTCTACGTTACTCCTATTTCTTTGTCTCACACCTCTGCTTACTGTCTCTATTATGCTTTTCTTGTACTTTCTTCTCTTGCTTCGTGTGCTACATGGAGTGTGGCGGGTGTACTGCTCATCAGTCCGCTCCGTCCTCCTTTATAGCCGTCATTGAGAGTGGAAGACACGAAAAGATTAGCTGTCTTTGATCATAGGTGCCTGCGCTGTGTCTCCCATGTGAAGTGGTATAATAAGGTGAGCAATATTGAGGTTAGGCGTCGAGTGTTAGGTAAGTATTGAGGGGAAATCAATCGACGAGGCCGTAAAATTACATCGACTGAGATGGTTAAGACATGTGTTCCGCATGAATGCCTAGTTATCACCTTCCTCGACGGGAAATGTTAACTGACATAGGGGTCAGGCTGGAAAAGAGCCAGCTAGCGACGGTCAAACCAAAATATAGCTTCACCAGTCATTGAAATCCACAACAGTTAGTTTAAGCCAGCCAGTCACGTAGGAAGGTGTAGACTTCCTGGCTGGTTAGGGTCCTCGGGACGGTAAAAACCACTGGTTGGAAACAATTGGTGATATGGCTCAAAATCGTTCTCAATGCATAGCACAGATGCATCCACTCCTTGTGACTTATGATTTCCAATGAAACTCTATTGTTCTACGTTACTCCTATTTCTTTGTCTCACACCTCTGCTTACTGTCTCTATTATGCTTTTCTTGTACTTTCTTCTCTTGCTTCGTGTGCTACATGGAGTGTGGCGGGTGTACTGCTCATCAGTCCGCTCCGTCCTCCTTTATAGCCGTCATTGAGAGTGGAAGACACGAAAAGATTAGCTGTCTTTGATCATAGGTGCCTGCGCTGTGTCTCCCATGTGAAGTGGTATAATAAGGTGAGCAATATTGAGGTTAGGCGTCGAGTGTTAGGTAAGTATTGAGGGGAAATCAATCGACGAGGCCGTAAAATTACATCGACTGAGATGGTTAAGACATGTGTTCCGCATGAATGCCTAGTTATCACCTTCCTCGACGGGAAATGTTAACTGACATAGGGGTCAGGCTGGAAAAGAGCCAGCTAGCGACGGTCAAACCAAAATATAGCTTCACCAGTCATTGAAATCCACAACAGTTAGTTTAAGCCAGCCAGTCACGTAGGAAGGTGTAGACTTCCTGGCTGGTTAGGGTCCTCGGGACGGTAAAAACCACTGGTTGGAAACAATTGGTGATATGGCTCAAAATCGTTCTCAATGCATAGCACAGATGCATCCACTCCTTGTGACTTATGATTTCCAATGAAACTCTATTGTTCTACGTTACTCCTATTTCTTTGTCTCACACCTCTGCTTACTGTCTCTATTATGCTTTTCTTGTACTTTCTTCTCTTGCTTTGTGTGCTACATGGAGTGTGGCGGGTGTACTGCTCATCAGTCCGCTCCGTCCTCCTTTATAGCCGTCATTGAGAGTGGAAGACACGAAAAGATTAGCTGTCTTTGATCATAGGTGCCTGCGCTGTGTCTCCCATGTGAAGTGGTATAATAAGGTGAGCAATATTGAGGTTAGGCGTCGAGTGTTAGGTAAGTATTGAGGGGAAATCAATCGACGAGGCCGTAAAATTACATCGACTGAGATGGTTAAGACATGTGTTCCGCATGAATGCCTAGTTATCACCTTCCTCGACGGGAAATGTTAACTGACATAGGGGTCAGGCTGGAAAAGAGCCAGCTAGCGACGGTCAAACCAAAATATAGCTTCACCAGTCATTGAAATCCACAACAGTTAGTTTAAGCCAGCCAGTCACGTAGGAAGGTGTAGACTTCCTGGCTGGTTAGGGTCCTCGGGACGGTAAAAACCACTGGTTGGAAACAATTGGTGATATGGCTCAAAATCGTTCTCAATGCATAGCACAGATGCATCCACTCCTTGTGACTTATGATTTCCAATGAAACTCTATTGTTCTACGTTACTCCTATTTCTTTGTCTCACACCTCTGCTTACTGTCTCTATTATGCTTTTCTTGTACTTTCTTCTCTTGCTTCGTGTGCTACATGGAGTGTGGCGACTTGAACTGGTGCACATCGGTGTAAAGTTCTATGTCGAAAACAGACAGACAGGCAGCATATAAGCCAGCTATTGAAGGGATAACTGGATAACCTAAAAAAATTGTTGCTCGGTGACTTTCTTATTCCTTTGCGTTCCAATTGGTGGAACATAGAACTTCAAGCTTTGAAGATTCAGCAAGCCTGATTTCATTTGTGTACAGGGTATGGTTGCTAGTCAGGCGGCAAAAACTTTCCTCTTTTACATACTCATTACCAGCTTGTATACTAGCCAACGTCTGTGAGTGTATCAATGCGGAATTAAAATCTACATCTTCCGTGTGGAGTTGACGAGAATTCTCTACAGTTGAATGCCATCGGTGTACTGTTAGATTATAAATACCGAGAATTTGTCAAGTTATGAAAATCATCTATAGAGGTTTATCAACCAAAGCGGCAATATACTTTCTTAACCAAAAGAATCTGTTAGTTAGTCATCCATAACAAGAACAATAACAACAAAAATATTACATCATTTTAAATAATACCTTATTAGGCAATATTGATTTTGATGATACACTGACAGCAGACCGACGCAGGACATTTGAATTGGGTTTATTCATAGACCTTAATAAAAATATTTTTTTTAAACATAAAGGTTTATTAGTCAATTTCAAACAAGAATACGGTAAGGAAGTTATAAAAATTGAGCCAATGGAATAAATGTACTAAGGTCTATTGATATAAGTATAAAACTTGGGCACAGTGGTGGTAGAGTATAACTCAATTATATAGATCAGATTTTATTTTGATAAATCACACAGTGTTTGTTATACAGTAATATTCACTGATGACCACCTTTCGAGCACAAAGTATTGCCACTCATAATCATATCAAGTCACTCACTCACACAACTGTTTTCCTTCATCTATATACATGAGTGGAATTGATGATGATTAGACATTTGAATAAAAATCAACATAAAATAATGTACATTCAGAAATAATAATATGAGTGTTATCAATCAAAAACAATCAGACGTACTATTACCTCTATTATTTAGTTATTTTGATTTTCAATATGTCCTTTCAACTTGACCTAAATCTATTTTCTCACCTCTTAACTCTTTGTTATATATATTCTGAGATTTTGTAAATTCCGGTTTAATAATACTTTGATAAAGCTATTAGCAGCAGCATTAAATAGTGAAACGTCAGTAAAAACAGCAATATCGTTTTGTTTTTCATTCATTGGGAAAAACAAAAAAGCCTTTATTATAACGAATATGATATACCCAATACCTAAATTTTTTCAAACTGTTAAAAGTGAACTTGGTCTGGACATATATAATCGTAAAATTCTATTTCAATTCAGGTAAATCATAACATTCTAACAAGTTACTTATTTTTACTGCATAAAACATCTTATTTCCCATCCGATTGTAATTGATCAATAACATTCATGCTATTATTATTATTATATCCTTTAATTCCTAGAGGAACATAGGGCTTCAGCTGCGCGTCTCCATCGCCTTCTGTTTTCTGCCAACTTTTTCACTCCACTCCAAGTCTGCCCACATGCTTTCATCTCCTCTTCACCTGACCTCCTCCAAGTCACCCCACCCTCTCACTGACGACCAACTCGCCGCTTCCCTTTCGGGTTCCACTCGAGCGATGGCTTCTCTAGTGATGTCACTTGATGGTTTCCTCAGAGTATGGCCAGCCAATCCATCTCCATTTCTTCCCGCTTATTTGTTTTGCAATCGGTTCCTGCTGTGTTGGTTCGCTGATTGCCAGAGATCCCACCTTGTTGCTGATATTTTCTGGCCGGCCATCTGATCTTGAGGTATTGAGCGAAGACAACTGTTAATGAAGGTCTGAAGTTTGTTGGAGATGCTCTTTATGACGCACTGGCCAAGTCTCTGATCCGTATAGTGAGTAGCACTGACTGACTTCATAATGGAGTTGAAAATCCGGATCTTGTTTTTCATGATGCTGAGTGATGTTGACCTCCACACAGACTTAAGGGTAATGAAAGCCTGTCTTGCTTTTCTGATTCTGGTCAAATTAGAGGAGGATAATAAATAATCTCGAAATTCTATTTCAATTCAGGTAAATCATAACATTCTAACAAGTTACTTATTTTTACTGTAAAAAGCATCTTATTTCCCGTCTGATTGTTTTTGATTGATAACACTCATATTATTATTTCTGAATGTACATTATTTTATGTTGATTTTTATTCAAATGTCTAATCATCATCAATTCCACTCATGTATATAGATGAAGGAAAACAGTTGTGTGAGTGAGTGACTTGATATGATTATGAGTGGCAATACTTTGTGCTCGAAAGGTGGTCATCAGTGAATATTACTGTATAACAAACACTGTGTGATTTATCAAAATAAAATCTTACCTAAATAATGGAGTAATAAGGTCTAACTAACGGTTATACGTTGAAAAACTTTTAATCGATTAAGATAAAAATGTACTAACTCTTAATCATCTTTGAAAAAAATATTAATAAAAATGACGGTAATAAGGAAGAAAATAATATATAATTCGAGGCTTCTGTAATTTTTGCCATATAAAGAAGCAACATCAGAGGCCTTATGTAGGACTCTCAATAAAACTGGTATTATTCAGAGTAGTACTTAAACCAACCAACCAATCAACCAATTCTCTCAGAGATAAACTCTGTCAGGTCAAGGACTCAATGAATCCAACTAAGAAACATAATAATATAATTTACCAAAAGCATGTACTAGTGACTGTAAGGTTAGATATATAGGCGGTCAAAACAGTGATGGATACGGGGTCAACTAGAACATAAAAATTTAGATGGACCTATAATGATTGACCCTGCTGAGTGAAATAACCTAGAAAAAGCTCAACCATTGCACTGCATTGCATTCACTTGTATGTTATCATAAAATGGGAGGGGTAGGACAAGGTGAAGGTATGAAAAAGTAAAATAGTTAGGTGGAAAGACAGAGAGGTTAATCAATGAAGCTTTGTTTATCGATTCAAGACCAGGCATGTGAAATCAGAATAACGCGACGCTCCTATACCGGATATATGTAAAGTGACAACAAACAACGAGGCTAAGTTGGAGGGAGAGAAATTGCAAGTCATGGGCGATTGGATCGGATCCAAGTGGTTGAATGGTCTACAAGCTCACCTTGTTGCCAGAATGTCCTGGGTTCGAACCCCGGTGGGTGCGTATTGCTCAAGAGTCCCAAACTAGGACGAAACAGCTGTCTAGTACTCACAGGTTTTCCCATGGTTCTCTAACCGATGTCAGCTCATGATGAAATTCTGTAAGAAAATATCTGTAAAAGAAATTGTGACACTGTGTGACTAAATTAATATTCCATATTAGTTTGTTTATTAGATGTATCACACACTGAAACAGTATTGCTGTTTACTGGATGACAAGGTTCAGAACACAATCTATTATTGTTCATAATCCGGGTGGACAGGTGTTGAATCATTCCTACTACAGGTATTTTCATTCAGTTGATTCGATAAACAAAGATTCCATTATCAATCTCTCCCTACACCCTGCCATAACATTAGATTTTAAAACTGTCATCCTATCCTATGCTATTCTATGGTTGTGAGTAACTGCATGTAGCGAGTGGTGTAGCTGAATTATTCTCTAGATTTTTTATTTTATTCGGGTCAACCAATCTAGATTTTGCTGCTAGGTTTTCATGCTCGGCTAGTCTGACTGCCCCTGTTCTACTACTTTGACCTATGTATTTGACCTGACAATCATTCCAGCAGGCTATTAAATAAACTAATTTGATTTGTTTTAAAGGTTCCACAGGATTGATCCTTTAACCGACAAAGGTTGTTTCTAATTGAGTTTGTGGGTTTGAATGCCAGCCACTTTTATTCCTTCATGGATTGTTAACAATTCTGCGTAAGGTTTCCGAGGTTCTTTCGTTGTATGGAATTACTACTGATGATTTAGATTCCTTATTGTTGGTATCGTCATTAATATTATTATTATTATCACTATCGCCACTATCATTATTTACTTTATTTTTACATTTCCTTACATATTTCTTGACTAATTTATACGGGTAATTATTAAGTTTCAAGGCTTCTTTTATGTGTATCACTTCCTGTCTTAGATTTTCCTTGGTACTACTTAGCCTTTGTGCCCTGTCACTTGAACATTTGACCAATCCTATTTTAACTGACATAGGATGGGATGATCGGAAGTCCGAATATCTGTTTGAATGTATGGGTGTCCTGTAAACAGTGCCCAAGTTTTACACATACATTATTTAAATTGATATGATTATAAGTTGTATTAATTTATGCTCGAGACCTTGTCGTCTATCTAATTGTTAATACGGCATTTAATATAGTTCCCCTTGTGAAGATCCATGTGTGTTGTTTGATATGTGAAGTCATTCTTAAGTATTTCACAGTTAAACTACTTCATACGTGGAGGAGGCTAAACAGACTAAACAATTGCTCCTCCATTTCGAAAAAAAAAAACAATTACTGAACGCTGAAAAAAGATACTTGCTTGAAAAGCTTACCCGAATTTAGGTGTCTCAAATATCTGTCCTCTTTCTATACGTCCTTCGACAAGTTTTTTTTTAGCTTCAACTCTTTCCAAAGTTGGGTAGTTTCTGTGATAGAAGAAGTAATTAAAGCATTAACAATGAAGCAAACGCAATTTCGTCTTCTCTGTTTATTTATAAAACTTTGAAAAAAAAAGAAGCAAATTGAGAGAAGAAATATACACTCCTTCACTTGAATTATTTCCTCATCATCGATTTTTTATCTGTCCTTGAAGGACAAGTTCATCGTTGAATTTCTGAACACCTGCTATCTTAGTTTGACACAAAGGTCCGAATAAAGTTGCTATATAACGCAGCTCAATTCTAGCGCATCTCATCGATCGATACTGGCTGGGCATCAAGTTGACTCTAACACAAAGCTTTTGAAGTTATTTATCATATATCACCCGACCTATCGTATGGTCTGTGAGTACAACTTTTACATATGGTAGACGTAATCGGAATTCATTTGAACAAGCCAAATCTATGTGTTCGAAAGAAATATGTACAGTTCCTTTCTTTGCCATTCCGCTATGAAATTCACATGCGAAGAGGAATCCCAAGACAGAATGAATTGCCTTCCTGAATGTCGTACTTACAAGAAAACCAGATGGTAGCATAAAAAGAAATTTGCATAGAAAAGGTATATGGTCAGGAAAACATACACATTTTCACAGCTTCTTTCCTATCAAGTACAAAAGAAATTTAGTGAAGACCCTCAGCCACAGAGTTAGAGCTATATGCTCAGAAGAAGTAATTGAAGATGAATTAGGCATTTTATATGATACTTTGATCGAAAATAGTTATCCCGAAAAATTCATCAAGAAACACATGACAAAGAAAGCTGCGGAAAAGCACTACTCACTCTGTAAAGAAGAAATCACTTTATATACGACTACAATTCAAGGGCGATATACCAAACGAGATAATTGCGAAGAAATTAAGAAAATCAGTTCAAAGAACTTCTAATGCTGGCGAACTTCACGTCTTATCCTCTACACGACCGATGGTGCTACCTCGACTGAAAGATGAAGTACCTAGACTAGACACTTCAACTGTGCTTGTGGGGTGAGTTATATTGGCAGTTGCTCTAGGAACTTGATTTTTCGTGATCGAGAACATCTCCCAGTATGGCTAAGTTAAGGTTTAGTAAAAACCACTAACATTTCGATATTAGACCATCTGGTTCAAACTGGCCACAAAGCCAGCCAGGATTGAAGAATCCTTCTGAATTATCTACCGGGTACCAAATAAATTGCCAAAAACATCGAATTACCGCATGCTCCAGACAGAAGAGCCTATCGAAATTTGCCTGAAACAACCAGTGCTTTGTGTTCAAAAGATCCAAGTCCAGCCCCTACTACTGCCCTGGCTTTCAGTAGAGACTATTAATTCGTGAATTTATAATATTATCTTTCCTAATTTTTCTGACATTCAGTTTATTGTTATGTTGATGCTATTGAACTGTAATCCATTGATATTATTATTATTGATTCGATGTTATTTAAACGGCATTAATGTTGATCATAACACTAATTCATTCATTCATTCATCCACTATAATGTTGTAAATATAACTGTAGAGCCTGATGATGAAGTTATCGAAAAGAGTACTCTTTGTTAAGTATCCACTCTTTTGCACATTATATGTATAAAGTTTTAAAAAACGATTTCTCCTCCCCCCTTATAACTAACTATCTTTTGTCTTTGTTATTCTTACAATTCTAGCTAATTATATTCTGCGTAATCCTAATAAGTCATCATTATTTTACAAAAATTTCTAGATTGCTAACACCTAACTTAACTTGACTTCCGTAATTAGAAATCTTCTCCCCTTCGACAAAACTTCTAGATCTTGTTAGTAACATCGACTAGTTAATTGTTTTGATGACCTTTAACCTCTTAATTTCACACCTGCTATGTACTCGTCGTCAATAAGTTATGGGGTCAACATAATGACGAGGATATCAAAGTAAGGATCGGGAAAGCAAGACAAGCTATCATTACTCTCAAGTCTGTGTGGAGGTCAACAGAACTCAGCATGAGAAATAACATCCGGGTTTTCAACCCCAATGTGAAGTCAGTCAGTGCTACTATAAGGATCAGAGACTTAGCGCAGCGCCACACCACAAAGGGCACTTCAAACACACTACGAACCTTCATCAACAGTTGTCTTCGCTTAAGATCAGATGGCCCGCCAGTTAAGATCAGCAACAGGGATCTCTCTCTGGGAACGAACCAACCCAACGGAAACCAGTTGTGCAACAAATATGTAGGAAGAAATGGAGGTGGATTAGCCATACTCTGACGAAACTATCAAGTGACATCACTAGACAAGCCATCGCTCGAGTGGAACCCGAAAGGAAAGCGGCAATTTGGTCGTCCAAGGGTGGCTTGGAGGAGGTCATGTGAAGAGGAAATGAAAGCATGTGGGCAGACCTGGTGAAAACTTTAGCACAGAACCGAACGCAATAGAGACGTGCAGCAGAAGCCCTATGTTCCTCTAGGAATTAAAGGAAATAATAATACAAGTGTAACTATTGAATAACGTATGCAAATGAAATAATAGTTAGTAAATTCGTCAAAAGGTGATTCTAACCTTTTGCGACTTTCTCTCCAAATTTGTACAGACTTATCACATGTTTGACGATAGATTGTATCGAATAGACCACTATCATGAACCTGAAGATAAAGATAAACTAGAGGGGGAAAAGATAAGTAAATACCTACCACTTCTTTATGGATACGCATTGCCTTTTGATGCGCTGTGAATGAACATCCTTCAACAGGGCACTGAATAAATTAAATAAATAAATAGTTGATAAATTCACAAGGATAACAATTTACTTCAATATGACCATCTAAATGCTTTCTGTATTCTTCTTCAGTGTAGAAGGCAATATCACAGCATACTTCCACAGGTTTGTAATAATCACGATCTTCCGCCTCAAAACCCATACCATATAAGCCTCCATTTCTACGCCTTCTCCTACGTCTACCAACATCTGTGAACAGTTTGGTTTGATCTAGTTCTTCAAGAGCTGTTTCTAATTCACTAAGTTTTTCAGATGCACTCCATAATAGATCAAACGGTGGAAGTTCCATTGTGAATTTGGCGACAGGAAATGTTATTCTAGAAAGAGGATATATAATACCAATTAAAAGAGTGCATAATATAAGAACAGAAATGATAAAGTAAAGCCATATATAATGTTACGGATGTTCTGAAACAATAACGAAGTGCCAAACTAAAACTTTACGAAATTTCCCACTTAGTTGTAGAATAGTTGTATACAGAAAAAAGTTGTGTAAAATATCTAATAAAATGCGTTGGTGGCATAGCGATTAGGACGCTCGCCAACCATGCACATGGTCCGGGGTTCGATCCCCGGCCACGGACGCACTCCTTTACCTCGCTAAGCCAGAAATAATCCTGGTAAAGAGGAAAGGTTGGACATGAGGCTAGCAACCCCAACCTGTAAAATAAACACTGCTACAGAAACTTCAAGCCACTAGCTTGAAGCCCTATGTTCCACTGGGGAACGTGAAGGGGAAAAATATGTAATAAGCATATAGAACCAACTAGTAACACCAGTTGCCCGTAATTCAGAGAAACAATCTGCAATAATATTTCTGATATATACGTTTTTTTACCCGAAAAATATTGTTTTACAAGAAATCGGATAGGCTGTATGCCAGCCAACACATCAACCTTCTTTATTCACCATAACAAGAAGTCATATAACTGCAATAACAAGTTGAACTGCTGCACCTCTGTGCAAAGTTCTATGTTGAAATTAGTTAGCCAGTCAAGGATACATTCATACACTCCAGAGATATGTCGCAGTCTAAATAACACAAAGTTGTCATGAGAATTAGTTCTGAGTTGATCCCAGATCACATTTTTACGGGTTAATTTAGAAATACTGAGAAGAAAACTGAAGCTGAGAAAACGAATCGATGACACAATTTTTGCCTGTGATAATCCTATGCATGATACTGACCTTTAAATCCAATACATCTTATCTCACAGGAGAATTAATGGCAGACCAGGAGAAATGCCAAGTTTCATGAAATTAATCTTACTTAATATTTTCAAGGTATTAAAATTCTAGGGTAAGTGGAAAAAACTTACTCAATCATTCTAAAAGCTTTTCTCTCACTGATTCAGGTTAACATTTTCGTCTGACATAAAATTATATTCAAAACCGTCAGAGTTAAGTCTGCAATTGAGGAAAGCTAATATGCAATCGCTTGTCTACACAGATTTATTAATAAGCATGGAGGAACACAGAATAAATACGCGTTGTGCAAAAACAATCTTAAAACATCTTGCGTAAAAGCAAAATCAGGTGCCTTTCACCGCTAGGCGGCATTTACCACGTAGCCAATACTTTTATGTTTAAGACTCATTTGTTTGGTTTTATTCCTTTACGTTCCCAGTGGAGCATAGGGATTCAAGTTAGAGCTTTGGAGTTTCGGCAGCAGCAATGGTGTTTATTTTTACGGGATGGGGTTGCTAACCTCGAGCCCAACTTTGCTTCTTTACCAGCCTTATTACTGGCTTAGCGAGGCAGATGAGTGCGTGGTTGGCAAGCATTATACCTCTATGTCACCGACGCTTAAGACTTATGACTTCGTATGAAGGTCAACAACTTTTCATCCAAACGTCTGAAGTGATATATTAGCAATTAGGAATACAGAAGCCCTAGGTGATTGATCAGTTATGACGACTAGCACAGTCAAGGAAGCTAGGGTAAGATTTCGGAATGCATCACCTGTTTTACCTAGCTGACTGTAAATCCAAAGACTCGCCAAACAAGAGGTACTAATTTCGTTTTGTTGTGGTGTAAACCGATTATGTAGTTGGGGATGCGCTTTATAAGCTACACCTGAATATTTCTGTCATATCACATGTGCCCGCTACACCAAATTAATGGGAAATAGACACAAACTTCGGCCACATTCTTGAGTATATTCCAGAGAATTTCATTGTCCGTTTTTAGGTAATATAAGGCAGTAAGAAGTACGTCTCTGGATGCAAATTCCACTTTCTGTCTCACACCTAGTTAGAACATAGCAGGTAGCCTTCTAATCAGTCTGTGATTGGTGCCTGGCTTTCCAGTTTGTGTCAAAAATGTTTGAAAAATGACAAGTGCCGAATAAGCCCTCCCCCATCCGCAGTGAGAATGCATCACCTATCACTTTTTCAGAGTTACTAAAATCTTGAAGTACTTAGTAGTCCAGTCAATGAACCATGTCGTTGGTCATCTTTACATAAGTACCCAGTCGGGAAAAGTGGGCAAGACGTGAGATAAATTGGCAATTTTGATCGACAGAGACGTGGGCATAAAGTGAATAAAATGCAACATAAAATGCTAACTTTTCCCATACTTTACACTGTTTGGTCTCTTTTCTCATATTCTTTAAAATTTTTACACTCCACTATTCCCAGGTCTAGAAAGAAAAAACTACTCAGTTTACTCATGTGCTTCGGAAGAAGTACTCATTTCACCATATCCGCAGTCTGTACACACCAACCCTGTGCCATCGTGAAACACTTGAAAAAGGGAACAGAATGACGAATATAAATTTGGCCACAACAACAGAGATGTATTTCATTTTGTTTGTTCATTAAAACTACATGCAAACACTGAATTAATACCAGATGATTATTATAATTTGGTTCGTTCCATCGAAGTCAACAATCTCGAAATTAATACAAGTCTTCACATATTACCATAAATGTACTTCGACGTACAATGACTACTTTAATTTTATGCATGTGAATGTTGATGTAACTACATATGGTTCACTATAGTGATTACCCAAGCTAACAACAATTCTTAACTTATTCTAACCTATGAATCGATAATGCCTTTTTATGGTAAATGCATACTTTATCTACCTGAATTGAACCAACTGCGTACTGAAATAACGTTGGTCATTCTTAAGAAGAACACTGGACGCTTAATAAATGCGATGGAACCCTAAATATAGGATTTGCAGCAGAAGTAATGCCTTTCGTGCTGATGTTAAGCTAAAAAAGATTGTCATTAAGCGACGAATTAAATCTTTGTTTTCTGAGGTAATGCTAGTTCATTGCTGGAACTGGAATGAGAGGGCTGAAACACCGACGATTAGCGAACCAGTAGGTTCTGAACTACTTCTGAAAATACCTAGAAAAAGCACAGGGTGCTGAATTAATGACAATCGTGCTGAAGACTATCACTGAGTTCTAGTTTGTGCGCATAGTTCAGTCACTTCAGCTAACAATAAAAAATAGACTCCAAAGTCAAATGGACTTGAGTCAACCAATAAGATGGCTCGATAATAAACATGGGTGTTGTTCATAATCTTCGTTGCAAGTTTCAACCAGATATTTTAATACCAATAATGCAATGATTAGGCACTGCCGTGCATACACCCAAGTGGAAAGGTTAGACTATAGTCAACGTAAAGTTAATCATACTTCTGAACAAGTAGGTCCTATGAGTGGTATGCATCGGTGGCACAGCGGTTAGAAATCTCGCCAACCATGCACATGGTCAGGGGTTCGAGAGTCTGCCGACACACACCTGATGTCTATGGTCGGCCTGCAAAATTTAGGCTACCGATACCACATGCTGAAAATCCCATACTTGTACCAAAAATACGGTGTGGAATCAAGTTATAATCAAATAAATAAATAAATTCTACTCAAGGATTCTGGACCTATCTAAAAAACGCACAATAATAGTAAGTGGTTACCGAAATAATACGAGCAAGAGTAAAGAATAGACCCCAAATTTAAATGGCCGTGATTTGTGCAATCAGACAGCTCAGAATTTAGTCATCATAGAATGTTAGAGTTAGTTGTTGTTTTTTATTACAGCTTAAGCTGTACGGAATTCTCAGCATGTCATATCGGTGGCCCAAATTTTGCAGGCCGACCATAGATATCGGGTGTGCATCGAAAGGGGATCGAACCCTAGACTATGTGCATGGTCGGTGAGTCCAAACCGCTGTGCCACCGACGCACAGAGCAAGCGAGATTTAATTCAGCATTGTAGGAAGCCTGAGTATTTAAATTTAGGTCGTTTAATTTCAGACATCAGGGATCAAAACATATTTCTCCATAAGAAACATAAATAATTTATAAGTGAATTATTGCAATTACCATCCCAGTCGGTTACTTTTTTTGTGGACCTGGGATAAGTGGGTAAAAACGTGGGTTACGTGGGAAAACTGGGAAAAGGTGGGACAAACAAATTTTATCTGGATATGGGAAAACGGGGAAAAAGTGGGTAAAATCGGTTGCATTTACACCTTCTTTTGCCCACGTGTTTGCCGATCTAAATTACCCTTTTATCCCACGTTTGCCATGTGCATTAACCGACTGGGATGGTAATGGCGAGATGCTATAACTCTGCGTATTACAAGCCCGCTATGTACAGCATATGCTTGAACAGAATCAAAAACTGGTGCTTATAGTTGAGAATGTTAGGTCGCACATCCAAATACATATGCGTGATATGTTAGTGCCAACTCACCTGAGAAAGGCCTCTCAATATGTACCGCATGCAGCTTAACCTTGCTATTGTAAAGCTGGCAAGGTTACAGTGGTATCCAATATCCAATATCGTTTTTACGAGCTAGTATAAACCAATTTGATTTCTTTGTGCTCGCTTCTTGATTGTGAGGTATAGGTTCTTGATCTTCGGTAAACTTCTGCTTAGCTTGTCCCGCCACTCGACTGTCGTAGATTTGGTTGACTCCAAAGGGAGTAGTGCTGGGATTAATTAAATGTGGTTTGTAGTATGAGGTATGTTAAGACTGTTACTACTGTGATTGAAGTTGATCCTTTCGCCAGTTAGTCCTTCGGTATCGTCGACAAGAGAAAAGAAATAGTAATAATAATAGTAATAATAATAATAGATATAATTAGTGAATCTATTCAGACTAAGAGACAGAAACGAAAATAGGAAACGTAACAACAGTCAGCTCATTAAGTTTGAAGAATAATATATATACCGGTAATAATAATAATAATAGTAATTATAATATTAATAAGTTGTCAGGAGAGTAAGACGGGAGAGAATGTAAAGAAGTAAAACGATGAGTTTAATTATCTACCCCTGATTGGTATATGCGATTTTTAGGAGATAGACCATTTGGATGCAGTCCTTGTATTGCTGCATGGTTGTCCAGCCTTCGCTTAAAGGCGTCCAAAGACGGTGCCATAGCTACATCTGCCGGCAAGGAATTCCAGGGACGGCAAACCCGCAGTGAAAAGAAGTGGGAGTGCACCCGGGTCCTTGCCCTCTGGTGAGCTATCCTTCTGGGATTTCCACGTGGGAGCCTATACCTACTCAATGGCAGAACACTTTTGTTTGGGTGATTCTGGTCATTTGTTATTTTGTAGGCAGTAATCAAATCCCCCTAAGCCGGCGGTAACTAAGTGTGAACAGGCCTAATTTCTTCAACCTTTCATCATATGGTTTGTTTCGGAGACCAACCACTCCTTTTGTTGCCCGTCGTTGGACTCTTTCCAAGAGGTTGGCGTCTCTTCCCAGCATTGGGGGTGCAATAATATTATGCACCTCAAGGCGTGGCCTGACGTATGTTTTGTACAACATTAGAAAGAGCTCAGGAGTGAGTGCACCTAACTGTCTATGCGTAAAGTGTATGACCGCATATGCCCTCGCTACATCCCCTGTGTAATTTACGCTTGTGTCCATTTTTTCCGTTAGAACCAGACCTAAGTCGCGTTCCGATGTTGTGCAGGACAAGCTTTCATTGCACAGGGTGTAACTTGCATTCTGCAGTCTACAGGTGCGCAACTTCACTACTTTGCACTTTTTCAAGTTGAAAGTCATGCCACTGGCCACCGCCCAGTCTTCCAGAAGGTTTAGGTCTTCCTGTAGCCTATCTGAGTCCTCCGGACACTTTATGGTGTATGAAGGCACCAACAAACAATTTTCCATCTATGCTGGCCAGTAGCTTTTCTGGATGAAATATTATGCGATAAAAAATTAGTGCATGGCCTTCATTTATCAATCTAGGAAGATATATGGAGAGTGGGAAGTTGAAAAAAGATCCCAAAGACTGGACTTCGCGCGCTGTTTGAAAGGGAGTGCTTTTTTCACGTATTTCACGTTTTTGACAAATCGCTGTTTTGTTGTGTTATTCACTTCAAGAACATTTAAAAAAAACTTTAACTTGACTTTTGTCTGTTAAGTTTTGATTTTAACCACTTATATAGTCTATATTGGGTAAATTGTCTTGGCTGTTTCCAGTAGAAGTTCATTATGTCAAAAGTAACACATAAATGTAATAGGGCGGAGTGTTACTTTTTGGTAGATGATGGAATACAGTGTAATAACTGTGAAAAGTGGTATCATAAGATGTGTACTGGATTACGTCCAGCTGCTTACAAACGTTGTACTGCTCCAACATCCCACTGGATGTGCAGAATGTGTTGCTCCCCAAAGATGACCTTAATAAGGGAGGCTCACGAACTACTGTCTAAAGCCATGGAACTTCCTGATGATAGCGTGGCTAGTAAGAGTGACACGGACTGCCCGTCTGAAGATGAAGCAGTAAGTGCTATCATGAATGTTATCACACCGGCGGTTACTATCCCAGTTACCCCGGAAGTAAAACCTACTAGGCGTTCGAAGCGTCTTAGTAAGCGAAAAGGTAACAAAACGGAGGCTGTAAACAGCATCTCAGAACCAGAGAATACCGTAAGCGAAGTTCACCATGAAGGTGGTGCAGACACTGATCTTGATTGTACCATCAAAAACTGCAGCAGCCCTGAGAAGCAACTGCAGGCAGATGATAAATGGGTAACAAAAATAAGCAGTCGGAAGAAATATAGTAATATTGATGGTAGGCAAACGTCTGTCACCTGTAGCCAGGCTGCATCAATAGTGGTGAGAAAGGACGTAGCCACTGCTAAATACGACAAGCTCTCCTTAGACTCTAACATAATTGTTGGAAATTTGGAAGAGTCCAAAGAATCTGATCCCGTGAAAAGGCACGATCACGACCTTAAATTAGTGAGTAGTATTATAAGGAAGATGCTCCCAGCGAATTTCCCTGGAGTATCGATTAAAAAGCTGATTAGAATAGGCAAAAGAGATGATGAATGTTCTAGTCAGCGTAGGTTGCTTAAAGTAGTCTTAGGTTCTCCTGATGAACGGAATCATCTACTGGCTAATGTACACAACCTCGCCGGGTCAGGAATTTCAGCCAGACCTGATTTATCTCTTGAAGACAGACTTAAACGAAAAGAAGTTTTGTCCCAGCTAGAAACAAGACGTAAAAATGGTGAGACTAACCTTAAACTGGTGGGTTTTCAAATAGTCAGGTCTTGGAAACGTATGCTTCCAAGACCTGTGTGGATAAGCCAGACCGCATAGGAAGCCTGAAGGTAGTGTACACTAATATACGTAGTATCGGGAACAAATTTCACGAGCTAGGTGTATTAGTAGAAGACCTTAGCCCAGGTATTGTGGCCATTACTGAAACATGGCTGGTTTCGGGATTAGATGACACACCTGAGCTATGTGGATTTAGTTGCTTGCGCAGCGACAGAGTTAAGGGTCGTAGAGGTGGCGGGGTTGCTCTGTACGTCAACAACTCCCTACATGTTCGTTCCGTGAAATCTGAAGCTCATGACAGTGGGACAGGTGAGGTAATTAGCTGTGAAGTAAGCTTTGCAACCGGCACTCTACTCATTGGAGTTCTGTATAGAAGTCCCTATTGTCAGTGTGATGACTTCATTTTAGATCACCTCAAACAATGGAGTAAACACAGTAGCTGTCTTATTCTAGGTGATTTTAATGCACCTCATATAGACTGGGTAGCTGTCACATCTCCAGGATCCGCTGATAAGTTTGACAGCCGGTTACTCTTGACAACCATGGAAAATGCCCTGACACAACATGTCTTAGGTAGTACAAGATTCGGTTCTACCCAAGGATCTTCCTTGCTGGACTTAGTGCTTACTCATGACAACGACGACGTGGATGGTCTAGTTATTCATCCACCTCTAGCAAACAGTGATCATGGGGTGTTAGATTTTAACTTAAGGGCTGGCAATTTAGTCAGTTTTCAACCCAAATCCCGGCCTAGTGTTTGGCATGCTGACATAGTGGCTATAAAGGAGCGTGCTTCAACTGCCGACTGGTCAGTCAACATTGTCTCATCCATTGAAGATGAATGGGATAGATTTAAGAATACACTTGAGAGGGTTACCACTGATCTCATCCCCTGGAGGGTTCCTAAAAGGCCAACAAATCGGCCACCATGGATAAATAGACAAGCTATAACACTCCTGAGACGGAGAAAAAGGTTCTGGAATCTCTTTGTTTCTACTGGGCTACAGCAGTTCCGGCTGAAATACTGTGAAACCAGAAACCAGTGTAAAACTTTGATCCACCAGTCAAGGATAGCTTACGAAACCCAGTTAGTTAAAAGTTCACCAGGCTGCCCAAAAAGACTCTTCTCATATATCAAGAGAAGAACACGTAAGAGTGATGCTATCCCACCTCTTATGCTTGAAGATGACCAGACAAACATGGCTGAGGATAACTTGACCAAGGCTGAGGCTTTGTCCAAGCACTTTAGTCAAGTATTCTCTGATAATATTGATACCAGCTTTGTAAATTTTCCAGAAGGTAACTTGAAAATGGCACCCTTATACATTGGAAAGGATACTGTCCTAAAGTGGCTTCTAAGGCTCAATCCTGGTAAGTCCAGTGGCCCTGATGAACTCCACCCACGTATATTAACAGCATTGGCTGAAAGCATAGCCGAGCCATTGTCGGTAATCTTCAATATGTCTCTGGACCAGTCTAAATGTCCAAGAGACTGGAAAGATGCCATCATTAGTCCGGTCTTCAAAACCGGATCTAGAAACTTAGTTCAGAACTATCGTCCTGTTAGTTTGACCAGTATTGTTGTTAAACTACTAGAAAGAATAATTCGTGATGCTATCATTCAGTTCATTGAAGGGAACAAACTTTTCGCTGTGGAACAGCACGGTTTTAGAGCAGGTCATTCTTGCTTGACCAACCTTCTTTTGGCCAGAGAAAGTTGGGCAAGCTCAGCTGATGCTAATATACCGGTGGATGCCATATTCATAGACCTTAGCAAGGCGTTTGACAGGGTTTCTCATTCAGGTCTTCTAGTAAAGTTAGGTAGTCTGGGAATCAATAAAGTGGTTACCGACTGGATTCAAGACTTTCTAAAGGACAGAAGACAAAGAGTACGAGTTAACGGGGTTTTATCAACATGGGAATCGGTTAAGAGTGGCGTTCCTCAGGGTACAATTCTAGGCCCACTTCTTTTCCTGATTTATGTTAATGAGATTCCATCGGTAGTTAAGTCATCCTGCTTACTGTTTGCTGATGACATCAAGATATGGAGGGCTTTGCACGATGACAGTGATCAACTTGCTTTGCAGGAAGATTTAAACTTGTTAAGTGATTGGTGTAAGCACTGGGCCTTGGAGATTAACTTAAGCAAGAGTGTAGTTATGCATGTATCCCATAGTCACGTGCACAATTACTCAATGAATGGCATTACTCTCCCAGTGGTCACTGAGTACAAGGACTTGGGAGTGGTTGTGCAGCATGACTTGAAAACAGCAACAAACTGTAGAACTGCAGCCACTAAGGGTTTTCGAATGTTATGGGCCATACGCA